TAGGGTTCCCCAAATATCCATGTCACAGGAGGATCAAGAAAAAACTACTTTTACATGCCCTTTTGGTACCTTTGCTTATAGACTTATGCCTTTTGGTTTATGCAATGTACCTGCTACCTTTCAAAGATGTATGAACAGCCGCCTCGCTCCCTTTCTCGCGCGTCGCCGCCTGCCTCCTCCCCACCCGCGTTTCCCTCTCCTCCTTCCCTGCCGCCACCCGGCCTTCTCCCCACCCGTGCTCCCTCTCCTCCTTCCCCGCCGCCGCCCGGCCTTTTCCCCACCCGCGCCTCCCTCTCCTCCTTCCCCGCCGCTGCCCGGCCTCCTCCCACCCGCGCCTCCCTCTCCTCCTTCCCCGTCGCCGTTAGGCCTCTTCCCCTCACAGCCTCCTCCTTCAACCCCTCCGATCTGGCGCCGCCCAAACCCTAACGCCCCGCCCCGTCCCCGGCTTCCACGGGAGGGAAGAAGGAATGGCGAGGCGAGGCAAAGGCGGCGGCGTACGGGACGCGGCGCGGGCGGCGTGGCCCAGGGGGTCGGCCTCCTCCTCCCCCACACCTCTCTCCTCTGCCCCCAGCGTATAGTCGCGTCGCACGTCTCTTCCTCTCCCGCGTCCATCCCGGCGGCGGTGGCGACTTACAGGCAATGGGCGAGTCCCTGTAGCCATGGCCCGTGGCTAGGGTTTCGGGCTGGGCATTGTCTTCGTCGCCGACGCGGCTCTGGTGCACTCCGGCGGCTCCTCTTCGTCTCCTCCCTCGCGCCCATGCGTGGCTCCGCTTCCTGCTGGCCATGAGGTACAACCTTGCAGGGGCGCATCGGACTGGGCCTCCTCCTTTTCCGGTGAGTACGGCAAACTAAAGACCACAATGTGAAGGTTCTATACTTGTAGGTTTTTGGTCTTCTCTGTCCGGAGATGTTGTTGGATTAGGACTACTATATTCCAAAGATTGGGGCCTTTGTGCTCTTTGGTATGGCCAGATTCCAAGTAATAGGAGTTTTTTTTGGCTGGATGGTCTGGCTAGGTTCCAAAGATGGCACTTTTTGGGGCCTTTTGTGCTACCTTGATTGGAATCGATGGGAGATAGAAGGCTTTAGCTAGGTTCCAAATATTGGAATCTTTTGAATCGGTGGTTTGACTAGGTTCCAAAAAAATGGACATTTGTTGCTGCCTTGTTAGCTTTAGCTGGTTTGCATAAAGTGTGCCTTTGTTGTTTACAAGGGACTTGGTTCTGCTTAGATTCTTGAAGTCATTTAGTAATTAGGAGGTTCTCTTATGATGTGGATTGGGATTAGTGTTTGGGATTATGGATGTGCTGCCAGGAAGGTGAGCAGAGTGAATTATGTGGGCTTTAGTTTGGTCTGGTCCAATTTCTTCCTTGGGTTAGGGTTAGGTTTGGATGCAATAAACTATGTGCCCTCTGGTTTAATTTGGTGCATTACAGTTTACATTCGGGATCAGCAAAGTCGCATGGTTGGTTAAGTAGAAGATGTGGGATCTATGCCTGCTCCAATTATTTGGATTACGTCATGGTTGCAGTTGTTTGCATCAAAGTGTTGTTTTCAGGTGCTAGATTAATTTGGTCCTTGCTTACCCATATAATCACATGCCAGATAAGTCACATGGTTGATTAGAAAAAGAGCTTCGAGGGTCTACGCTTATTGTGGTTGCAGTTCTGCGAATCAATATGTTATTCTTGATTATCCAGTTGGCTCCCAATTTCCAGTTTCTGATTATATGAGGAATTGGTGTTTTACTGCTAACTATATTGTTTGGTTCTTCTATTTTCTGATTCTTTGCTTGATGTGTTTTCAATTGGGAGCTCTCCACTTGGAAGATACCTCCACGCCCAGCCACCTCTTCACCACCATGTGCCAGTCAGCGCACGAGGCGGAGGAACTGGCGGCGCCGTCCAGCGGGAGCATGGACACGGTGTAACCCTTGCTCGTTCGTGTGCATGAAGTCGAGCATGACTGGGTTGATGGGTGTTGTCGCCGTCGACGGCAAAAGCACAAGTCACGGCTCACGCCGCTGCTCCGTTGAAGTCACCATCTTGTGCGGTTGTTGTACTCGTGTTGTGCGTGCGCTCAGGTACTGCATCTCAGGTTCCCCTCTCTCATAGATGTCCATATATATAGTTCTGATCTCCTTTTTTTCTGCTGCTCCATATAGCGTACAACCGAGTCGTTGATGCAGTGAGAGCTCGGTGTCGTGTCCGCCGGCTGAGCAGCAAGCCGGAGCTGCAAGTCTCTAAACATGGTGGTGCTACTGTGAGGATCTCATGTCTCTCACTCTGTGTATCTTTCATCAACCCGTTCCACTTTTTGCTAATCATTCAAGCCCTTCATGCCCTTCACAAATCTATAAAACGTTTATCTACTTTCACGAAAAAAATTCACGAATTTCTTTCGCAAAAAGAAAGAAAAGAGGTACTGAGAAAATAAGGAAGAAAGAAGAAGAAAAGGCGAACCAAAGCATGATGTGAGCAGGCGAGGTTACTTGGTCAGGTGGTTAAGGAGGCGTCGTATTAAGACGTGGGTCGCGGTTTCGAAACCTGGCTCACACGCAGTTTTTGCAGTTTACAAAAACAGAAAAAGAGCAGAAACGAAAATAGGATGGGCCGGCCCGCTACAAAACCAGGCGTACGGCGGGGTGTGCGCCCTGTACCGAATGCGCTATATTCGGCGCTTAAGGCGCTGAATAGGATTTGGCCCGTGCTAGCTAGGTCGGCCCGGTAGCACGCAGGAACGGCATGGCCCAGACACGGTCCGGGCTAAACGGGCCAGGCCATGCCTGGGCCTGGAGGCTGGGCACGCGGGCTGGCACGGTATGGCCCGCTTATTATTATTTTTTTAGAATTTTTTCATATACATGTTTAAAAATACAGCTCAATATGCCTAAAAAATAGCCCAACGGACTGAAAATATGCACCCAACCGTGCTAAACGTGCCACAGGCCGGCTCGTTTATTAGCTGGGTCGTGCCTGGGCTGGAGGACACATCACGTGGGTTGGCACGACACGGACTGACTAATAATCGTGCCATGGTGGGCCGTGCTGTGCCAGGCCCGATTAGGGTGGGCCGGGCCGGCACATTTGGCTAGGTCTGCCCTGGATCTCCCTCGCGCACTAGGATTTTATTTTGTGACTCGACAAACACTACAATATGATCCTTATAAATGCGAATACATAATATTTTATGGTCCTCCCACGGTCCCTTCAATGGTAGAGCGCACTCGTGCCGCCATCCTTTTCCAGATAACCCCCTCAGTTTTTTGGAAATAATCCGCGCTCCCTTGATCCACCCGCCCTGCCACCCGGTCTCTGGGCCCACTTGTCATGCTCCCCGCACGAAGTAGTCAAATCAGCAGCCTTATTCAGTAAGTCAGCCACCTCCAGTCCACCACTCCGAGCCAGCCGCCTCCCACACCAGCACTCCTCTCGCTCCGTCTCTTCCTCATCTCCCTGAAATATGTCACCTTTCTCACACAAATCCCTAACCCTTCTCGCCCTCGCCAATAAATCTGCAGCCTTCGCTCCTATAGGACCTTATCTGTGCCCCTACAGCAGATAAATCACCTTCATGTAACTGAAAAAAAATCTTTTTGCAGGAGCTTGCTGACCAAAGAGGTCAACTTGGACCTCCTATGTGCCCTAAAGGAGATAAAAAAAGCTTCATCCGACAGCCAGGGGGAGCAGCCGGATGGGTTGAAGAACAAGTTGATGATGGTGATCCCTCTCGTGCCAGCTTGCCACTCAAGCACCTTCTTCTGCTCCGTTAAGTCGGTCACTGTCGTTGTCATCAAGGTCCCTCCCTCACGAGTGTGTTAGTTTATTAGACCTTTTTTTAGTAGTTTATACAAAATGATCGATTAGAAATTAGGAGTGTTATCGTGAATTAAAGGGTGTGCTTCTGAATATTATTTGGAATTGTGTATTGAGTATCTGACATACAATTTCTATTTTCACACTACATCAATTTAGTTAACTTATGTTGAATGGACCTTTGTTTTTTCGTCATGGCTCACAACTAGTGACAAATATTTAACTTATAGTTCACAGTATATGTTGATGCTTAGTAGATTAATTACACAAGTTAATAAGTGATTAGTTTAAGTTCAATTGGTTCTCTGTGTTCTTTATTTGTTGTGTACATTCTTGATTTTTAGCATAAGCATGCTATCATGTATGGTACCTTCATACCTTTTCGGTTATTTTATATGGACACATTAAACTTTCTTGAAGTTTTTCTTCCTTGATCTTCCACTTAGTAAAACTGACCCATTTTTTATAAATTCTTACTTTTTTAAAACGAAAGACATGGTGATGGCTTAAACGAAGATCTAGACACCACTACTAACGCGCATATGCACTTTATTAACTATTTATACTAAATTTGTGTACTTATTTATAACTCATTTTTATCACATAATAGTTGTAGTTAATACATATTTTTTTTAATTTATTTGTTTCGACTAACTATAAGATTATGATACTAAATATTAATAAAATTCTTCCTTATGTTATAATTTTAATGTATATCATTGAAAAGGATGAATACTTTATGTTAAATTTCAATATTTGTAATGATTAAATTGGTAGATACATTACACCTTAAAAAGGTATTGAAGCCTAATCATCATAAAATGTTGGTAAAAAAATAGAGCTACAAAACTGCATGATTCTAAAGATTAATTTTGTAATGCTGGCATGAACATAGTGTATATATATCTAGATGTTTCCTTAAATATCTTTGTAGATTCGTAAAGATCTCTAAAGTGCATAGTCTGAATATAGGCCCAAATCAGCCCAATAATATGAATTCTACATGGGTCGGCACTCCGGCCCACCATGCCAGCACGACTCATGTACTTGGCGTGACTGGGGTGGGCCGTGCCGGGCCGTCCCATTTCGCCAGGTTTGCACTCGATCGATTCGAGCGGGCCGGTCCTCCTCGCTCCCCTTCCACCCCACTCATTCCTCGCCTCGGGAGCCCCGAGCCCTAACTCCATGGCCGGCGGCGATTCTTCTTCTTCTTCTTCTTCCACGGCGAGAGAGGAGGGGAGGGCGAGCGCGCGGCTGTGGAAGAAGCAGAAGCTGCAGCAGCAGGAGGAGGAAGAGAAGGGGCCGAATCCTCTGGACCCAAGGTTCAGCGACTACGACCCCAAGGAAGGCGATTACGTCTTCACCCGCTTCCAACACTCTACGCTCGACCTCCACATGGAGTGTACGCCACTACGCCCCCTTAATCTCTACTGTTAGTTTTTTTTTTCAGTTTGGCATCCTAGTTTTGTGTCTGATCGTCTGAATTTAAATGCAAATCGTCCGGCGATCAGGTGTTCCACTCCACGGGGCCAGTTTATATGTGCATGCGTAATCCCATGTTTTGCCAATATATCACAATCATTTGAGAACTAAAGTCCAGTTACTGTCAAAAAAAAAAACTATATGATGTTTTGCCTTACTGAGTACTGTAGCTCTGCTACTTCACTGCTGCATCCTAGATAGATGGACAACTAACTTTGAGTTTGAGGACTGCATTTTGATTCATTCCTCAATCATAATTTCTTCTTTCGGCAGCACCTGTTGGTGCTATGCACAATACTAACAGGATCTTCCCAGAGGAGGGGTTCCGGTTCTGTAACTCGGCAAATATTGTCTCGGTCAGTATCGTTTCCTCCGACTATGGATACCCGCTCAATGTCTACGGCACCATCATAGCCAGGGACAGTCTGGATCGCCAACGCATCTATTTATTCCAGCGTGCCAAGGACGATTGCCAGAACATCAGCTCCAAGGTATTATTGCTTTTAACTCCGACTGATAAATTCCAACCGCTTTTTCCATTTTAACCCAGAGCTAAGTAAACACCATGTTTATTCAAATTACTTCCTTTTGTAGAATGATGTGTTGGTTTTGACTGGCCCGAAGAGAGGACTGATGATATGTGATTCAATAATCTTTGAAGTTGATCTGAAGGTCAAGGATGTGAATGGTAGAAAGGTGAAGGACGAGAGAGTTAGCAAAGGATTAATGGAGATTAATGGCATCAAAAGACTCTCATATCCACCGAAATACCAGGTTCAAACGGAAAAACTTGTCAGCATGCACAGCACATTGGATTTGAACTACACGTTTGTAAGGAATGCGGTGGAGGGCACCGTTGAGGCGAGGATGATCCTTGAGGAGGGACCTGTTGATTATTTCCATGGGAAAATCGTCGCTCACACTAGCAGCTTTCCATGTGACATTATGCTACATGATAGCGAACTTGCTGGGATGCTAACAGCCGGTGAAGGTGGAATCCTGCAAACAGCACGCCGCGTGGTCAGCGTCTCTATTGATGAGACGCTCCTGTTGACCGTTGCCGCTGCTACCAGTGGTGTCGGCACTGTTGAGTTTACTCCAAAGCGTGGCAGCTATGATGAAGAGAAAATCACTTGCGGCGACTATAAGATGCTGGTGAAGGTCACTTGGTCCATTGTGTGCTGGTGAAGGTCACCTGGTCCATTGTGCATCGCTGATTCCGTGCATTCCTGGTTGAACATGCTATATCCAAATTAAGATGTGTGTGCTCTGTATATGCTGTCGTACTAAATAGGTCTATGCTTTTGGTGGAAGCTTCATTATCACTGTTTGTTTGTTACCACTCTGTTCGTTACAACTGAGTGGGATAGGAATTATATGTATATCCGGCATGAGCTTTGAAGTAGGAGGAACAGACAAAGTGTATGTGCATCACTTTGATTTTGTTTCAGCACTTGAGTCTTGAAAATGTGGTCTATATAGTTTCGATCTTTCAACAAAAAGCTCTGGCCCGCATGGCATTGCAGATAGTAATCCATGCCACACTATACATTTTGCATACAGATATATATGTATATATTTCTGAAGAATGGTCAGAGTGTAAGATTATATATAAGAAAAATGAAGTCTGTAACGCTTGTGAAGGACAGATAACACCAGAATGTGCATATATTTTCCTTGTATAGTCTGTACATGTGCAAACCGAACTTGTGTCGATTCCACTTTGACGCGAGTAAATGAAATCGTTCCCACTTTCGGATTTTGGAATGGACATCATCAAATGTGAAATACTTAGCAATAACATCTCCTGACGTTCCAGTTAACAAAACAATAGAAATACTAGGCCAAGTTAGGCATAACACAGCCAACAACATCTAAAGCTAGTACAAACTTTGAATTGAACGGTAGGTCTCTTTGGTATCATGTATTGGGAGCTAAGATTTCTAACAAGTACCTGACTGGCACATGCATTTCATATAGGATGTTGTTATTAGGACAATGAACCACAGCACAGCTCACAACCCACAGGGATTTGAACACTAGTACAGGGCAGCAGCTAGAGGTCTAGACCTCATCTTCTTACTAGTGTTCCTTCTATCTGAAAAAGAAAAACATACCAAACTAGAAAGCAGCAGGTCTAAAACTAACCCTCCTGAACACTAACTCCAGTTGCGAACCTAGGCGAGAAACTGCAGGTTTAAGCTAATCTTTCTGAACACCAGCTCCAACTAAGAGCACGTAAACGCCGTGTAGTGTATAGATGTCGACTTCCTTCCTACACATTCTTCAGTTCACTCCACGTGCGTGAGCTCCCTGTCCGATGGGTTCGCAGGTTGCATGGCGTCGGGGATGGTACGGTATTCCCTCTCCGTGATGAACCTCGCTTCGTCATGCTCGCTGCTTGGTTCTGCTATCCCTCTGGGAAGGAATCCCCGCTCCCGTGCGGCCAGCCACTGATCGATGACGCCGCATTTGATGGCGTGCTTCGCTGTCTTGTGCAAGTAGACCTTGTCCGTCACCAGGTGAGGGTTGATCGACAGCATATTCATCAGGGCTGAAAAAAAAGAAGCAATATACACATCTTGTCACCTCAATTATATTTAGTTCACACAAACATCAGGAGTAATTACAAAAACACATAAAAGATGAAGCGTCATTAATCATGTCAGTTAACATATGTTGATATCCAGATTTAGAAAGACTAAAAAATAGCATAATAACAAATGGATATTACACAGTAAAAATAGGAGGTATTAAGTATTGTGCTGACAATTCCTAATGTTTTCTTGATGATGTGAAATTAGTGCCAATGTGCCATATTCTGCACAGGTCAAGAGGGAAAAAATGTATCATATATTTGGTACCTGCAGCAATGGTGTCTCCTGACTGTGACATTTCACTGGTGAAAGGAGTAATCGGCGCATCTTCCGTCCCACGAACCGAGCCATTGTGTTTTTCTGTGTAGTAGTGTATCTTCGAGGTCCCGTTGGTCACAAAGAGGACCTTCAGATTGTCATGCCATATCTTCATAACAACTTCTGGGCTGTAGTGTGCGAATTCAGATTTCTCATCTTTTGTGTCAGAATTCGCAGATGGTTTAATACCACAGAGGAACTCAAGTTCCTGCTTCATGACTTCGATGATATCAGCAGCTTCCCACGCCTCCTTGATGAGTGATTTGGTTTCCTTACTAGATGACCATAGTGGCATTGGAAGATTAAGATCAAAGAATGTTATCCCGCCAAATTTCTTGGAGACCTCGATTGCTTTTAACAATGATGTCCGTGTAGTCGGCTCTAGCAAAGCTGACGAATTATAGTAAAACATCTTAGCCTGCATTAAAAGCATAAGAAGGTCATATCTCTGTTAAGACATACTGCATCCGTCCACTTTAAAAATAAACAAATAATAACTACTTGATTTACCTAAAATCAGAGTGGATATTACACAGAGACCTTTAGCCTCTGAAGTTTGAACTAGTTATTATTCCTATAAATTCTTGATATGCTCTTTTAATTTGGGGGAAAACAATTAGGTGCTCAACTGTAGTGAAGATACTATCCTACTGGTTTTCAGTATATGGAGCGACAGTCAGCACTTCACTATTACATACTCCCTCCGTCCCGTGATATAAGAGCGTTTTTGACACTACACTAGTGTAAAAAACGTTCTTATATTATGGGACGGAGGTAGTAGGTTTTTATGTAATTCTAATTTTCATCAAGTCATACAAAAAAAAAAACCATAGCACAAGTCTCTGCTGAAAAACAACAAACTGGAAATATTTCTGCATCTTCTGTCTAAAAAATAAAGGTACAAAGTCTTCCTCAGGTGAATTACATAGAGACTATTTTTATGATCATTAACTAACCGTCAATCAGGAATTACCATATTAAGTAGTCCCTCCGTAAAGAAATATAAGAGGGAGTAGTAACAAGAATGTAGGATATGGTGTCATTGGAAATTTATTTTGATGGGCTTGTCTTTACCTCTTTTAGAACATCTGGGTTGATATCAGATTGCAGAAAACAATCCTCTGCACATGGTTTAACGCAGCTTGTGTTCAAGCTACCTCTGCTGGTCACCTTCATTAAGGACATGGCAGTTGGCGCTGAAGGATCCAAACTAACTGCTCGAGTTTGAACTCCGTTGACATTTAAGTGATACAGCATACTCTGACCATACTCATCATCACCTAATTTTCCCATGAACACAACCCGGCCTCCAAGAGCTGCTAGAGCAAGGGCAACATTGGATGACGACCCTCCAGGTGCCCTCACAAATTCATCAGGAGACCAGAACATATCCTTCATCCTACTATGAATCTCACGATCCACCAACCTTTTAGCAGGTCTTCCAGAAGGAACAAATGAGTACTTAGCTGGTCCAAAGCAGCAGACAAGAGGCACTAATTTGTCAACCTCTTCAATATCTTGTGATAACAATGCCTCTACTTTACTTTCAAGATCATTGGCTGAACTGTGAACTTCTATTTCATTAGACGGCATCAAATCTTTGCTCTGATCTTCTCCTTCATCATCACTTAATTGTTCAACCATCTTAACTTTTCTTCTGCCCCTCTTTTTTGGTTCTTTTGGCTTGTCAGCCTCCTCCGGAGAGGATGCAGTAGTAGCAGCTGCGACACAGGAGAGAAGTTGAATTGCTAAGGGACGTGATCTAGCAAAATCATAAAGTCCATTGACCAAATACAATAAGAAGTGTGCTCTTGAGTGCAAAAATATGTGTGTTACCTTTCTTCCGACCTCTCTTTTTAACTTTCTTAGGCTCTTCAGGGGATGCATCTTCAGTGTCACTTTGGCCTTCTTTTGTTTCCCCTTCTGATGCATCGATGGTGGCTTTCTTTCTTCCACGTTTTGCAGGTTTTTTCTTGGTCTTTGGGGTTTCAGCATCACTGTCTTCACCACTTGAGCCTTCCTCTACATCTTGAGAACTCTTCTTTGACACAAAACTCACATTGCGGTGAAGCAACCCCATTTTAGTCTTCGTCGTATTCTTTCCCCAAATGGTGGGCTTATAATGTAACTGACCCCTGTGATGAGCGACCAAATTAGGGAAGTTCATGGTTAAAGGGGTCAAGTAGCTATCGGTTAAAACTGAAGAAAATGTTGGTAAGGTATATAAGCCTAACGTCGTCACACAGATACGGTTGAGCATGACTTCATTTTTCAGATTTGGCAGCGTTGGTAAGATATCGTTGGTGAATGACACATCACACTTGTGGATAATTTTAACTTGTTATACTTTTTCTAAGATTAACGAGCTGACTATGAGAATGAAGAAAATGCAAACTGAAAATGCAACAGACAAGTTGGCAGTAATCCCAGGCTCCCAGTGAAGCACCATATATGCAAGACAAGATTGAAAAGAAATCTGCAATGTTCATGTAATAGTTTTTCCCCGACTCGCCACTTCCATGGCGACACAATCCAAGAGAAATCACCGCAAATTCAGATTCGTCAGAAGGGAAAAACAATCCATCTCCCTGAAGGAGTATATCGCTGGCGAAACATACAAGGCGAGGGACGGTGAGTGAATTACCTGATGCAGTAATAAGGCAGGGAGCAAGCGAACTGAGGAGGGAGAAGAAGAGACGCCATGGATGGATGCTAGATGTTTGAGCAAAGAATCCTCACTGCACTGAAGAAATGTTTGGATGTCAGTAATGGGTGTCGCAATCCACAGGTGACAGGAACAGGATACACCCTGCACAGGAACAAGTTAACACAGGGAACTAAGAAGTCGTACCTACACACACAGAGAGAATTCATGGCGGAAATGGAAAAACGAATGCATGGTACCGGCGTTACCTTTTCTTGGCTTGGTTTGCTGCTGCACTGAAATCGAATGAACCTGGAAAAGGAGAGAAAAGGTTAGAGCCTGAGACCATGTTCGTGTTCCATGGCTGAAGCAGAGGAGGGATAGAGGGGCGCCGCAGCAGAGTGGAGAGGGAGGGCGCCATGGGAACGGGGAAGGGGGCGGGGCGCCATGGGAGACGAGAAGGGGGCGGGGCGCCATGGGAGGGAAGGGCTCCGCGCATGGAGGGGAGATATGGAGGGGGTGAGAGCATGGAGAGGATAATGGACTGACCAGCGCCTCCTGCCGTCGCCGCCGTCCGCTGGCTCCCTCCCCCCCTGTCCCTGTGAGAAAGAAGCGCGGGGATTTGGTGCTGAAAATTACACGCCTGCCCTCGCTCTGAGGATAAGGTGCGGAGCCGTAACACTCTCCTAATAAAGCCGCATTATGGATGGATACGCCAGTCGAACGGGGAAACGGCTTTTATACATCAAGTTCCCGCAGTCGGCTTTTATTATATACAGTCAACCAAGAGGTTGCTCGCAACGCCCCAGGCCATGGGACCTGCCTACACCCCTGACAGCATACATGGCCGGCGAGAGCATATACCAGCATACGATCTCAATGATGGCATTGACCTACATCCTACCAACCCAAATATGGCACATGAACCGATCTAGGAGAAGATGGGCTTTGAGTTACTTCGTGTTTGGTACGTTTAGTGCCATTTGTATGAGTAGCCTATTCGGCAAGGTTCTGGCTAATTATGGATTAACATTTCAGTTGTATTAGTACGACGGGCAGTCAAGATAGCCATATGCAACAAAATGCGCACGCATGGACAGTCCCGGCCCCGCGTCGTCTCCCTAGGAGAGCGACCGGGAGGGGAAGGGCCAGGAGGCCGCCGCCACCAGCAGCCCCAGGGCCAAGCCGGCCGCGGGCGCCGACGGCGGCGGCGAGAAGGAAGAAGGGAGGGGAGCCTGGAGG